CTCTCTCTCTCTCTCTCTCTCTCTCTCTCTCTCTCTCTCTCCTCTTCTCTCTCTCTAAAAAAAATCATACCTTAGTATACACCAGGAAATTCATACTGGAGAAAAGCCATACCAATGTAAAGAATGTGGAAAAGCTTTTAATCAAAGATCAAGCCTTACTCAACACCAGAGAATTCATACCGGGGAGAAACCATACAAATGTAAAGAATGTGCCAAAGCTTTTAATAAAAAATCAAACCTTATTCAACACCAGAGAATTCATACTGCAGAGAAACCTTACAAATGTAAGGAATGTGACAAAGCTTTTAATCAAAAATCATGCCTTACTCAACATCAGAAAATTCATACTGGAGAAAACCCATACAAATGTAAAATATGTGGCAAAGCTTTTAGTGGAAACTCAGGACTTATTATTCACCAGCTGATTCATACTGGTGAAAAGCCATACAAATGTAAAGAATGTGGCAAAGCTTTTAATCAAAGATCATACCTTACTCAACACCAGAGAATTCATGCTGGGGAGAAACCATACAAATGTAAACAATGTGGAAAAGTCTTTAATCAAAAATCAAACCTTACTAAACACCAGAAAATTCATACTGGGGAGAAGCCATACAAATGTAAAGAATGTGGTAAAGCTTTTAATCAAAATGCATGCCTTGCTAAACACCAGATAATTCATACTGGAGAAAAGCCATACAATTGTAAACAATGTGGCAAAGCATTTAATCAAAAATCAAATCTTAGTAAACACCAGAAAATTCATACTGGAGAGAAGCCATACAAATGTAAAGAATGTGGCAAAGCTTTTAATCAAAATTCATACCTTACTAAACACCAAAGGATTCATACTGAAGAAAAGCCATACAATGTAAAGAATGTGGCAAAGCTTTTAATTGAAGATTATACCTTATAAAACACCAGAGAATTCATACTGGGGAGAAAGCATGCAAATGTAAACAATGTGGCAAAGCTTTTAATCAAAATTCATGCCTTACTCAACACCAGAGAATTCATTTTGGGCAGAAATCATACAAATGTAAACAATGTGGAAAAGCCTTTAATCAAAAATCAAACCTTAGTAAACACCAGAAAATTCATACTGGG